TAGTATTCAACAAGTGCCTACTACTATAGAGAATTTTGAGAGCGAAGTACGATTTCTGGATCAATTTGTTTGTGTGTTTCGTAAATTTCAACTTATTATCGAATGTAACACCATGATTTCGTGCTTCCGTAACAATTTCAACTTTTTCATTATTAATATTTATGTCAATATTTTTATCTACTATCACTCGTGAGTTTCTATTTCCGAATATCATCACTTCAGACTTCTCTGGATTCATTTTCAGATTATTGTTTTTTGATATTTGATAAAGGTGTTCGAGTTCAGAGTTGATTTCAACCTCTACTCTAGCATAGTCACTTGATTGGAATCTATATACCAGTTGAGTGTCATCTGCAAATGCATGAGTAAATCCACGAGTAATTGATTGTATTATGTCGGTAGTGTATATTAGGAATAGTAAGGGACCAATCAACGAACCTTGCGGCACTCCTGCACAAATTAGACAGTGAGTTATTACAACTCATCATCTGAGTACGGTCTGTTGAATAATGGTTAATTAGATCTAGCGCAGAGTTACCAAAACCGTAATATCTCAATTTAGCCAATAAAACTTTGTGGTTGATTGTATCAAAAGCTTTTGAATAATCTAAGAGCAAAAGCATCGCAACTTCTCCATCATCAAGGGCCTTAGTTATATGACTGGTTACATCTACTAATGCTGACGTGGTACTATGAGCTGAACGAAAACCAGACTGATTACTCGGAAGAATGTTATTCAATTTTGAAAATTGTGTCATTTGTTTATGCATTATTTTTTCCATAATTTTTGAGAGAGTACATAATATACTCACAGGTCTCGGATCAGATATTACAGTTGGATTAGATACTTTAGCTATTACAACAGTATGGCATAGGTATGAAGAAATAATTGAATTCATCAAGAAATATCTCTGCCTTTTATGAAAGAGATGAGATTCCAGTGAAGGGATTGGGAAAGAAGATATGGTTGGAGAGGCTGCTCAGAATCATCATTTACATAAACGAGGGTCTCCAGCAATTGAGGACTTGAAATTATTCTCAAGATCGAATCACTGCAACATTTATACAATGATTATAATTGTGCTTCAGAAAATGTTTATTATATTACTATAAGGTAGGTACTGGTTTCTTCATCATAAACAATGAAAGTTCATGCAATAATTCGAGTTTTTTCATCAGGAAAATATGAGGTTCTGGAATATGCACTTCAAAAAATAAATTATCAAATAAAACACATAATTATGAAACTCAAAAGAATGGTTGCCATATTTGTTGTCATTGTTGTTCATACTCGCTAGACTTGCAAAGGTAGCCACCAGAGGCCGCACACTTCTCGATTTTCGCGAATCATAACAGGTCTGTCTGATCTGACAGACTACAAATTGATGAAATGAATCTCTGGTGCACTCACTCTCCATGTGTTTCGTCAGACTGGTTCTTGATATTAACAATTGAATTTCAGACGATGACGTGGGGTTCACACATTGAATATTAGATGGCGTGTTCCTAGCACTTATGATGAACATCAGTCTTCATCTTCATTGGTCACAATTCGGTCACAATAGTCACATTTATGCATGTAACTTTGGTACGGCACCAGACAAAACTTAGCAAGATTCACTAACGCGCTGTTATGTTCATCGAAGTAGGCGAAACTCAAGGAATTGTAAAACAGGAAATGATTGGAGTGCGTCAACCAGAGGTTCATTTCATCAATGACTATAGTTAATCCAAGCGAATTTCATAACTGAAAAGAATATTATGCTCCACTTCCAACATAATACTGTTTATCTACTCATTGATTCGAGAGTAAGCGTTTGCTTCTCCATTTGACGACACAAACCTGTCAATATACCGACCTGAAATGAAAATGGTATTTCCCGTTGGAGGTGGGATCTCGTGAAATAGCAATTCATATATCGTGGGAGCAAAGGTATCCATTTTCTCCCGCGTGTGAAGTTTGATGCTTGACGCGTAGAGGAGAGCATGGATCACACATGGGAGGAAATGCGCCTTTGCTCCCAAGATATAATTTTATTCACGAGAGCATAATTATATTCAAGAGCGTCGTTCTTAACAATGTGCTTCAAGCAATCTTTCTCTCGAGTCCAGATCCGAATCAACGTGTTACATAATGTGAGATGACAGACATTATTCGAACCGGAACGAAAATTGATTTGACTTTCCTGTCAATTCAATGTGAGAATTTGTATTTCATTCGAAATTTCGATTGATAAATTCAGAACCTGAGATCTATGGAGATCAAAATTGAAATTGTTATTTGTTTTATAATGGTGATGGAGACATTGATTAGGTTCTTTCATAGCATAGATCTAATACGTATATCTCTACAACCAAGAAAGCAATCTGAAGCCAATTTATGTTGTCTGCAACCGACACAAAAGTCGTCCATTTTATTACCAAAATTGGCTCTTGAATTGACGTTTCTTTTACTGACACAAGATCGAATAGGAATGTTGCTAGGCAACACATTCAGCTCCTAGGAGCTGAAGTTGAACTTTAGCTCCTAGGAACTAAAGAGGATGTACTAAAGGTCATCAAAAATAAACAACATTGTTACTGTTGGTTATTTGGGTAAGGACCTAATTTGCTTCCCCTTTCGGCAGATTTGGCATTTCATACCCATGCTGAAGATATAAATACACCTTATTATAGTTGAGTATTTTTGTTCTGATCAGGAAAGCCTTGAAGATTCACAAACTTGCCTGATCTTCATTTCATCCGTTATTCTTGGGATAAATATCTTGTTTTTGAACAATCACGGCCAGCAACAAATTTTTGTCTCAAACAACGATATTGTTCAGCTCCATCTGATTACCAAGCCAAACACAGTGGACTATGGAGAGGAATAAATGTCCCTATCATTATTGTTGATATGCTCACTTACCTAACATTTTCCACGTCTTCTTCATATACCTGATACTGGCGCGGTATTTGTTATAAGAGCTAGACGCTCCGCCTCGCAAATGCAAAATGTGCTTGTCGAACAAAATAATCTACTATAACCTCCTACGAGAAGTGTTTTTATTTCTCATGGAAGTGAATTGACAAGTTTGTGTCCTCAAATTAGGAAGCAAGCGCTTTTACGATACAGTGAGTGGTAAAAATAAATTGGCTTCAGCTTGCTGGCTTGGTGAGTAGAGGTATACGTATTATAAGATCGCTGATTCTCACTAATCGGTGGCTTCATCACCACTATGAAACAAATAACAATTTCTTCTCCAAACTCCAATGATCTCTCACACTTTCCCATATTCCAAACTCACTCAATCCAAACTTCAAATGTAATTACACAATCAACGAATTCAATGTGACAGAAGTGTCAAATTGAATCTCATGGACATCCTACTAACCTTCGAACATTCAACACATTGATTTGGATCGATACTCGAGAGATAGTCCACTTGGAACACAATTCGAAGAACGACGCTATCCCCTAATAACACAATCATGTCCCATGGATATCCTTGGGACATCCTGTCGGGACGTTCGAATTTGGCATCGTGGACGTCCATTAGACGTCTGTGGGACGCACAAAAATGTTCCACTTGAGGAGCAACTAGGGACGTCCTTGAGGGATCTCCCTAGGACAACTATCAAGTACTTGAATCCTACAGTATTCCTTATCAAGCACTACGAAAGACATCCTGAGGACATCCGTAGGACAACCTATCAGCAACGCTGAGGGATATCAATTGGATGTCCATAGAATGTCCCAGGGAATTACGAGTTATTCTTGAATTTGAATTTTTCTGGGTCCCTCTAGGACCAGATTTTGCATAACTGATGAGGACATTCAGTTGAGTAGATGGTACGTAGAAGGTTCCTGATAAATACTGAAAAATTTTCTCAAGGATGTCCTATGGACTTACGTGATGGACGTTGACGGAGAATATTTACAGCCAACGTCCTCGCAGGGACAACATATTGAAAGTACTGACTGGGACGTCCGTAGGACGTTATTTTTAGGACATTGGAAGAATACAGTTCATGTACTAATTTGGACATGAGACGGATATCCCTAAGGGACATTTCGATTGTTATACGATCCTGGAAATATTAAGGGCGTCTGTACAGAGATATTTGAGGGAATTTACAATCAAGGACATTTTATTGTTGTCTGGATGGAACAAAGATCTGAAGTCATGTCAGAATATGTACTACTCGGTACATCCGATGAATGTCCTTGAAGGAACATTTTGAATCATCTAGGTCCTAGATTCTAGGACATTTGGAATAATGTTACAGCTGGAACATTCCGTGGACGTCCTTGCTCGGACATTTCATGAGTTGTACGGGATGGGATGTCCCAATGACACTTATTTTTGGTCCGGGACATTCAGACTAGTATTGTACCAAATAGAGACGTCCCTGGGACGTTGTGTGCAATCGAGATCAAATATGCGTTCGTGAAAAAAATCACATATACAGCTCATCTCATTTCGAACGTCCCCCCGTCCCCTCAATATCTCAGCTATCAGTCGTGCGACCTTCACCAAATTTGTATCGGTATGGATAATCATCAATATGACCAGTTCTTCATGAACAAACATCATTTCAGACAGTGCCGTGCATTTTTATTGAAAAGAAGATGGGTCAGTTTTTCATTTTTCAATCATATTAGGCATTTTTTTCACAGAAAAACTGACCTCATCATATTGTCCTTCATTGTGTCAAACCCACATATGTGGATTTTTATAAGATGATCATGAAGGATTTCAGAAAAACAGGTACATCAAAACAGCATCTTTGCGAACGTTATAATTATTTACTCGAAAACAGAGGGTTCAACATAAAAAAAGAATAACTAGTTTTTCCTTTCAAATCATGAGTCTCCACCTACCAGAGCAATCGAAAGTTCCAAAATTGTGTGTTGATTTGAGGTCACTATTTATATTTGAGACTGAAAATGAAAAAAAATGAAGTCGATCCTGTTAATTTGGAATCAGGTGATTTTTTGCAAATGCAGGTTCAAAAGCATGAGGAACAATGATATGAGGTTAGATTTTTTGTGAAAAAATGCCTTATATGATTTCATGAAGAATCAACCCCTTTTTAATTCAATAAAAACGCACGGCACTGTCCAAAATAATGAGCATCTCTGTGGACCTGGGCATTTTGATGATCATTCACACCACACCAAATTTGGTTGGAATCGTATAACTAATAACTGAGCTATAGAGGGGGGGGGGGGAATTGCAGTGAGACACGCTGTATATCTTAAGAGCAAAGGTTCATTACCTCCTATGTGTGTTTGATGCACTCCGCTACGCGTCGGGCTCCAAACTTTACATCATTTTTAACCATATCATATGATATTTCAGTTGGAGATATTCTGGAAACAATACTGTGATCAACTACGGGCTTCACAATGAGCAACTGAGTATCAATGGTCATTACATAGCTAGAGGACTCCTCCAAGGAAATGGATCCAATCATGATGAATTAATAGTGATCGATGAAACAGGCCAATCAACGATTACAATACGTGAGTAAACAGTAAAAATTAAAATCTCGAAATGAAGAAGAATTTCTTCGAATAAAAAATACACACACTCCTCAATCCATGAGGAAATATCAGGAGATAATCAATCTCAATTCGAAACTAAATTCAGTTCTTGATCTTCATCCGATCCTTTTCTGGATTCTCCCAGGGAAATGCAAGAACGTATCAAAGAGGAATGCTTCAAGATATTCAGTGGAGAAACCAGACATGATGATTTGAAATGGTTTAAACGGTTTCGATATCTTGAGGAATTTCATAACCACGCGAAAATATTTCCACATGTCTTGAGAGAAAAAACAAGTTTACTCTGGAAAATAATTAAATGAATCTTCATTCAGTGTATCGCTTATTTGGTGAGAACTGAATACTTATTCCAAGATAAGCGATGCTCTTATTTCTGAATATGCTCCTATTTTCGTTTGAATATTTGTGATGTACTTCAATTGACAGATATGCGTCTTTCAGAAATTTCGACAATGTCTGATAGAATTGATCAGTAGCGTAACTAGATGTCGAATTACTCTACTCAAAATTCACCAAGACAAGCTGAAAATGCCTTGTTCACAAATTAGTTGAAACAATGAGCGATCACAAATATTGGTGACTATATTATATGTATGTATATTTTTCGTTTTGTGATGAACTATGATTATTATCAAGTTCTTATTAGCGCAGCTCTTGCTGTTTCATAGAATCATCAGAAATGCTTACTCTTTCGAGTCCATGAAAAGCACTCAGCAAAATAGTTACATAACCTTCCAAATCTTCAAGTGATAAGACTTTTATGACAAGCATATAAAGTAAAAGTAGAGATGAAAGTGGAGATGAAAGTAAAAGCAAAAGTACAAGTGAGAGTTATGGTCTGGCAAAACTATAACATAGGAAAAATAGAGAACATGTTGTAATAACATAACCTTGAGATGATGAAAGTATGATGTAATGATTCCAATAAACCAAAAATGTTCTCAATAATTGAATATTCACCTAATTTCATGATGGCCTGATGCAGAAAGGAACGATTTTCAATTCTTCATTATCTTTTCTAGTTGACAATCAAAAATTCAAATGTCTATATGTCATAAAGGTCAGAAAATCGTAATATTCAAATAGCCAATAACCGAAACCCGGTTCAAATAAATTATCAATATAGATCAATAAGATAACGCTGACGGCATACTGCTCCGATATTATGTGAATGATGGAGAGAAGTCCATCCTTGATATTTTACTATCGCGATAGAGATGTATAGAAATGTAACTTGTGCCCTTGCTCCCTATTGAAGGTCGTTTGCAAGTTTCTCGATGGCGCCTACTCTGATAAACCTTTGATAAACATACTTGACGTGGGTAAATCTCGCTAAGGTCATCCTGGTTACAATCCATATTCACAGGAAACATATAACCGACCGATAAATATTTGGATACGAATATGATTTGGATCAGAGCAGTGAACTGATTCCTGATCAAAAGGTCGAAACGTCATTGTGTCAAAAATATTCTTGAGCTGAAAATATGGTTATTTCTGAGATTGGGGTCAAGTGTTCGTAAGAAACAGTATTATTTCAGTGATTTGAAATATTAGCGTGAACTGGTGTGAATAAATTCTAAGGTGAGTACCAGTTACCATATCTGCCTATTATGATTTTTGATATTGGTCTATTTCAATAGTTGATATATTTTTTTTTCTGGTTATTTAAAGAAGAAATTCATCAGATTCCATGCTTTAAATAGGTTCATGTCATGAAAGAAGTGAAGCTTATTGAAATCGGCTACAAAAAAGATTTCTTGCTTTTATTTCAAATTGAAATTTGAATGGAAATGTTGAGCACAGTATTTATTCGACCACAGAACAATGATGGAAATAGATTCATCCCTCACAGAACCAGGGTTTTGAACGATTTTCCGATTATGGCGCCTCTATCGCAAATACCTGAACCCCACATTCAAAACTCGCTTGCAATTGTTCAATATCGGGAGTTAGTCTGACGAAACAATTGAAGAGTGAGCCCACCAGTTAAATTTCTATACATCTCTGTCGCGATCCTGCTCGTTGAAGGCTGAACGCTGAACTACTGGTTAATGCTACGTGAGACAATGGAACAAGAAAAAGAAGAATATTTTCGAAATAAACTGAAATAATAAACTTCAATCAAGTCGACACAAAAAAATGCAATTGAATCCAAATTATGTAATGAATATACAGGATGATCTCCGACGAATGCCAGTAACTCGCAGCTCCATGAAATCTGTAATAGAGAAGTTCTAAATATCCTACAAAATGAAATGAATATACTCAAAATAATTTCAGTGAAAACCAAAGGCTAATCAAATACTTCGAAAATATCAGTTGAATACTTGGTATTATCAATATTTCGTAGAAAAAGTTGAATCTACTAAAATTGGATGTTATAAATGTCTGATTTTGATATGCGCAGGGTGGGGCAAATTGAGGACTTTCAAAGGGAAAGTCTTATTCTGAAACTAAATGGAGAAACTGTTTTATGTTCCAGAAAGTCAATCATCATACAAACTCAGGTCAAGTCAACTCAACCGCATATTGATATAAATATCCATTTCAGATTCACAAGGCGTTTTTCGAGCGAGTTAAGAGATGCATTACCAGAGGAAACCATTTTGTTACTTCCAGAATAGGTAGCAGGCTACATTCATTCCCCTTCATTATGCTTGTTTTCATTCACGAAAACAATCAACCTAATTTAGACAATGTCAAACAAGCAGGCTGTTGTTTTTATTTACATCAATTGATTCAATGGTAAACACTATCACATTTATTCTTGAGATTTCTCATTTTCATCATAAGGTTTTTATGAAGTGATATGTGCATGGGCCAATTGGATCAAACTTGTGCCATTTGACGCCTGCTCAACCGGGCTATGAAGTGTACTTCCCCAGCGAGCACCAAAACATCTCAGAGATGTTAAAAGTACGAGAGTTCGAGACATCGAACCTCCACTGCGATGTTCTGTTCACACATGAATAGAACTATTATAGAACAGCCAATGTCCGCCGCAGGCGGCAATTATCGAGATGTCCTTGATATGTCACAAAACTACATTCTCCCTAGTTCTTTTTAAAGCCTTTTCATGGACACAACAAAACATTTTCAACGCGTCTTGCGCACATTAAATCGCTAAAAAAAAACAATTTCCGAGGTACTTTTCTGAAGCCTTTTGTCAAAATGAACTTTTGCATTAGGATTCCATTTCCCTTGAATGAAAAAAATGCATTTAAAATAGATTGAACATAAAAATATTTTCTTGACATGAAATTACCTTCCTAATCGGTTTCTGAGTAGTATTTACTACACACAGACATATAATTGGAAATAGGTTTCCCAATTTTTGAAATGTTCTCCACAATGCATAATTTTGCAACTGCGGAGAAACTATGTATTGATAAATTCGTACTTTTATATATTGATTACACTGAGGCACCAAACAACACATCTTGCATTTGATGGTCATTATTACAAACTAAATAAGTCTTCTAATATAATAAACATCACCAAATTCCTTTCTGTTCGTTAGCAGCGTGATGTAAGCGTGACACGCTGCAAACGCGAATGCCAATTGCGAACAAGAAGATCAAAATCGAAAACAAATCAGAATTCATTGTATTGTGACGTTGTAGTGGGGCAAACAAAGAAAGGGCACAAAAGAACAAAAACAATACTTTCAATATCCTCTTGAGACCTCATTGGGAAGTGCATATTACGCCTCAAAAAACCATCCTCATGCCTACATTTCTAAAACATCCCAAAACATCCCAGAATACCTCTCAGTAGGCAAACAAAGAAATGCCACAGAAGAACAAAAACAATACTTCAATATCTTTCAAAGACCTCTTTGGTCAGTGCATATAACGTCTCAAAATAACATTTTCATGCCAACATTTTCAAAACATCCCAAAACATCCCAGGGATGATTGTGCTCGCTGGGTCACTGCTTGCTTGCAAAATACAAAATGATTGAACATTGTCATTATTCAATGTTTTTCAATGCCGATTCCAACATTTTGGGCGAAACTTTCCTTGAATGATTATTTTCTTTCAGGTGATCTTGTTTTCACACACGAAATCACGTTGGGTACTGAAGAGAGAAACGGAACAGCTTTCTTGACGGTACTGTCTGTCATTATGCAAGGAAATTACTCATCTATCAATGTGGATTCTGTTGCTGACTCTGGTGACATGAATAATAGAAGAGCCGACATATTACGGATAATCAATGATAGAAGGCAAGAGATTATCAATAATATCAGTTCACAACTGATTCTCAATTTCACAAACGTATTTCAATACTTCTTTCGAATCTTTGATGGTGCTCCGGCAGATTCACTCTTCTGCCGAAAACCTCGGAGTGCTGATGAATTGATTTGATATAGCGAAACCATTCTGAGTAATGCCTGAATTAATTGAATTAACCTAATCTGATGCCCAAATAATATTTTCTTAACTTAATGAAGTTGATTCAAATCAAATAGATTCTGAAATGAATACATTGATGTTGCATTCTGATTATACTCATTAATTTATATTATAATAATTGAAATAGAACCATGCAAAACGATAAAAGTGTTTTCTTATGTCTGTCGTGTTTGGTATTAAACAACAACTACATCATGTCATCGTTGTCACTGTCTGGAGGTGAGTTTACATTATACCAAAAGAAGACTAGAGCTATGCTCGCAATGGACATATACAGGGTGATCAGAAAAGACGCGTCAAAATTCAAGGGGGTGATTCCTCAGATCATTTTACGAAAAAAAGATCTCATAATTATGGGCCAGGAAGTGCATTTTTTCCAAGATACAGAATGTTGAATTCTTTTCCGAATGATGTTTTCTCCAACTATTTCAAAAATATTCTCACGGATTTTTGAGATTTTGCAGCGATGTTTTTAGTGATGAAAGGCTAATTTGGCCATAGCTAGATGAGAATCAATGTAAACAGAGGCGTTGTGGTAAAAGCAATTTTTTCAAATTTATTGATAAGAATCCAAGACACGAGGAAGTTGTAGTTTCAGTCTTTCAATCTCAGGGAATTATCGAAATTGGATGGAATTCAGTGGCGTACATTTTTATCATTGAATTATAAAATTGCCTGCCACACAATGCCACTGTTTATATAATTTGTTATCTTGTTAGGGGCAAATCATCTTCTTATCACTAGAAACAACGCTGCCGAATTTCAAACAAATCCGTGAAAAAATATTTGCATTGATTCAAAGGTACTCCATTGAAAAAAAAACGTTAACAACAACAACCCTGTATGGCACGTTTTCTCCTTCTTTTTTCGAACTGTTGGAACGAGTATAATTCGACATATTATACAGGACGTTCCAGATTCATATGTTCATACGATACCTGTAGATAGGGGACACTTTGATGGTTCCAAATCAACCTCCATGGATGTGTTTACCCTATTTTATTATTGAGATACAGGACGTTATCTTGATTTTATGAAAATCATCAGCTGGTCATAACTTTTGAATCACTTCGTATAATCTTTTTATACTGGGTAGAATGGTTTCACTTATATCGTCCATCAAAACTAAATAACAATTGGAACCAGAATCCAAGTTCGTCTAGAGGAATAACAGAAAAAATCTATTGTTCAAAAAACAACACTCTGTATGGCAAAATTTTGTTGATCTGATCTGATATTTGAAAAGAGCAGGGAAAAACGAATGAAGTCGATTCGATTTGACAGATGTTTTATTTTTATTTCTGAAATACTTGAGGCTTTTTCATTGAACTCGTAATTAAAAATCCAATTATTTCACAGAAAGATTTATATATCAACATCATTAGAGTCGAATTAACTATCGATATATTTTTTCGTTTGACAAATTCACTTGTCTGTGGTTTCAGAATTTTTCGATGGCTCATTTCATTATTCACCATTAATTCATGAGCTGCGGTAGAGTGAGCTGTGCAAAAAAATCTGATACTCTACCATTACCAGAAATCTCATTACCGTTATACATTTTCGAATAAAAGCAGCACCTTCAAATCCTATGATAGCAATAACGACTTTGCTGAAAGTGAATTTCCTGCCACAGGAAGGTATACTGCTGTAGCTATCATGCAGCCACTCTGGGACAGCATGATTTTTTTTATAATTGTCTAGCTGAACTACTACTAGTGAGTTATATGCTTGTGGCTGCGAGGTTCATCGCATAGAACTGCACTCACAAAATAATATTTGACGAACCAACTTGGGGTAATTTAGCGCCTACTCATCGTTATTCGATATTTCGCTGATTTGTCCCCCACTATGTGAACATTTGTCAGACATCTTGCTTGATCAATCATTCACAGTTGGGCTCTTGATGCAAACCCATGTACAGGACGACAATCTCGACGACACGACAGTTACGAATACTTCCCCTCTTGAATTCAATTCATTATTCAAAATCTGAATCTGAATTCAAATATAAAATGGAAACATTTCCAAACAAATGAAAAAATCTTCTGTGTCCCTTTCATTGCTTTCGTAGAGTGCTTCAGTTATTATACCAGGATTGATGGAATGATGAAGGTGAGTTTTTTCGAGGTATTTCGTATGAAATTCAAATATTCTACATTCAATAAAATTTGCCTCTCTTTGGTATCATGAAACTTTAAAATGGTCAAATATGTTTCAGAGCTTTTCTAAAGAATCTAAGAATCTGGTCTAAAAACTTATTGTGAGCAAAAATGTCCAGGTGATGAAATTATTTGAATGATTTTACTGGTAACATTTTGTTTTCCTGTACGCATCTGTAATAACTTGCCTAGTTTCCGAAATACAATGGTTTCAGAAAAAGTATTTGTTCATCAATTACTCAAAAAACCATTTGGTTTTTCCTGGGGGTGCATGAATCAATTGATCTATTGAATTTCAAAGATCATTGGTCCGAAATTTTCTTTAGGAATCAATAAATTGCTATACATACCAAACATCAGGGTGGAAATTATGGGAAGTGAAAGTGGATATCAGTCAAAATTTCACCTTTCTTGATGACAATAATCCTGGAAAATAACTGAATAACTATACAGTAAGAAGGTCATGCAACTATCTATATGATCACCCATCAAGAGTAGCAAAGTTCCCTACCTACGATTATAACATTGCCCTACTCTCATTATTAGATGCACTCACTAGCGGTAGCAAAGTCAGATACCTACTACAGAAACATCGTCTAATAGCATCATACAGATGCACTCGCTAGTGACAGCAAGGTTCTATATCTAATAATCGCAGGTGGGTTATAATCAGCAAAGTCGACTTTATAATCACAGGTGACAACTCGCTTGTCCCCTATGCCATTAGAGTTTCTTGCTGGGGTAATTCGATTTCTGACTATGGTTAATAGAAATTTTCCTCAGTGTAGTGTGATATTATTGGTGACGTTGAGATAATTGTTGGTTTTTGTATATTGGGTTGTTACATTTCGAAGTGTTCATAATTATGCCTTAACAACATAACCCTAATGTTACCAATGATATCACACTGCTGATAATGAACTGTCGGAATTTTGAAATTTCTTGCCAAGCCTACTTTCCGCAAACTATGAATAGATATTGAAGAATAAAATGAGTCCTCGAAAGTTCCTGAAATCATTGAACAGTTATTATGTCAAACAAGCGAATCTATCAATAACTCACCAACATTGACTTTAATGATATTTCTGTATAGAAATTGGATGTTGAATCACGAGTTCAATCAAAATACCTCGAAATGGAGCTGAATACTTAACAACATAATGATAAATCATCGGTAAAATGGTATGCGCGCTCAAAAAAAAATAGTTTTCTCAATTCATTTTTCCCGCTCTTTCTAGTTGTTCTTGAAATAAGTACATAATATATTCAGCACATCGATGTGATACAGTCTTACGAATATTTCCATGATATCACACTGAGGAGAATTGTGCTATTAGAGTTTTTGCATAGATATTTCTCGCTACCATTACAACAGATCATATTACCGTTATACATTTTCGAATAGAAGCAGCATCTTCGAATCCTACGATAGCAATAACGACTTTGGCTAAAAGTGAATTTCCTGCCACAGAAAGGTATACTGCTGTAGCTATCAGGAAGCCACTCTGAGACAGCATGATTTTTTTTTATAATTGTCTAGCTGAACTCCTACTCATCGTTATTCGATATTTCGCTGATTTGTCACCCTCTATGTAAACATTTGTCAGACATTTTGCTTGATCAATCATCCACAGTTGGGCTCTTGATGCAAACCCATCATGTACAGGACGACAATCTCGACGACACGACAGTTACGAATACTTCTTCTCTTGAATTCAATTCATTATTCAAAATCTGAATCTAAATCCAAATATAAAATGGGAACATTTTCAAACAAATAGAGAAAACTTCTGTGTCCCTTTCAGTGATTTCGTAGATCTGAGTGCTTCAGTTATTAAACCAGGATTGATGGAATGATGAAGGTGAGTTTTTTCGAGGTATTTCGTCTGAAATTCAAATATTTTACATTCAATAAAATTTTCCTCTCTTTGGTATCATGAAACATTAAAATGGTCAAATATGTTTCAGAGCTTCTCTATAGAATCTGGTCTAAAAACTTATTGTGAGCAAAAATGTCCAGGTGATGAAATTATTCGTATGATTTTACTGGTAACATTTTGTAATAACTTGCCTAGTTTTCGAAATACAATGGTTTCAGAAGGTTTCAGAAAAATTATTCTTTCATCCATTCATCGATTGGTTTTTCCTGAGGGTGCATGCATCAATTGATCTATTGAATTTCAAAGATCATTGGTCCAAAATTTTCTTTGAGAATCAATAAAATACTATTCATACCAAACATCAGGGTGGAAATTATAGGAAGTGAAAATGGATATCAGTCAAAATTCCACCTTTCTTGATGACAACAATCATCGAAAATAACTGGATAACTATACAGTGAGAAGGTCATGCAACTATCTATATGATCACCCATCAAGAGTAGCAAAGTTATCATTAGATGCACTCACTAGCAGTAGCAAAGTCAGATACCTACTACAGAAACATCGTCTAATATCATCATACAAATGCACTGGCTAGTGACAGCAAGGTTCTATATCTAATAATCGCAGGTGGGTTATAATCAGCAAAGTCGACTGTATAATCACAGGTGATAACTCGCTTGTCCTTTATGCTATTACAGTTTTTTGCTGGGGTAATTCGATTTCTGACTATGGTTAATAGAAATGTTCCTCAGTGCAGATTTTTTCTGGATCTTCTGAATAACAAGAAATAATAACAAGGAAATACCAAGTACGCCACTTTGAGAATGGTTATTCGTTTTACTAGGCAAAAAAGTAGTAGATTGATGGCCGCGGCTGATAGTTCATAGCCGAGCGTAGCGAGGCTGAGAATTTAGCCAAGGCAGTCAATCTGCATTCACTGCCATGTGAAACATATGATTTTTTCTCCAAATATTATGAAACCCATTTTGTGCACTTTTCTTGTTGAAAACTACATCATTTTTTGTTCACCCAATGTCAGTTTCAATTTTTATTACTAACTCCATTAGGATTTCTTGGAACGTTGCGTAGC